ACTCCCCTTGAAGTCTGTTCCTCTCCCCTCTATGAGCCTTCCTCCTCCACCCAGGCCCACCAGGCCCTTGCCCCTCCCCAGCAGCAGCAGCAGCTTGGGAGTCAGCAGCAGGGGTTACAGCAGTATGGGCAGCAGCTTCTCCTTTCTCAACTCCAGCAGCAGCTCCAGCATCTCCAGCAGCAGCTCGACCTACAGCCGCAGCTGCCCCTCCTCCCTCCTCCCGTTTCCTAGTAGCAGCCCTTTCCTACCTGGACTGCTGGGAGTGCTGCCTCCGCAGCCCATCTCTCGGGTGCATCTCCAGCGCCGTCTGCAGGTGGCAGTGTGACCGCTTTCCCCTCTTCTGGTTTTGTCGGTTTGCTAGGTCAACCTGAATCTGTTGCATCTCCCATGTACCCTTCTTCTGTTAATGAAACTTCGTTCCAGTACTCTGCCTCACCCTCCTCCACCCTTGACTTCGTCCTAGACAGTGGAGCCACTGACAGTGTCCTTCGTGATGCTGGTACACTGCGCCCTCTCCCCACACCCACCTCCTTCCTCGGTGCTGATAGCAAATTTTCTATCCCCTGTCACAACACTTCCACCCTTCCCTGTCCTCTCTTTCCCTCAAGTACTGTCACCGGTCTCCACATTCCCTCCCTACGCACTAACCTCCTCTCCCAAAGGTCCCTCCAACAAGCCAATATCACCACTGTCTTCCTAGGTGGTGCTAACTACTGTGCCCTTTACAATACTGCTACAGGTCGCCTTCTCTCTCGTATTCCCTTCTGTCCTCGTTCCCGTCTGTACACCCTTCGGCTTCCCCGCCCCCCCCACCTGCCAAGTCGCCTCTCCCTCTCTCCTCTCCCCCCTCCCCTCCCTCCCACTAACCCACCCCTCCCTCTCCGCCCCCCTGACTCTGACTGTTCCTGTCGCTCCCTCTCCCACCCTACCATCCTCCTCCATCACAGGCTAGGTCACCCTAACTTCGCTACTCTGCACTCCTCTGTCTCCTCCGGTCTCCTCCACGGTCTCCCCTCCTCCCTCTCTCCTCTCCCTAAATCCCCTGCCCCCCCCTGCACTGCCTGCGTTCAGAGCAAGCTCAAGCAGCAGCCGCAGCGGAGCTCCCCCTCCGCTTCTGCACAGCCACTTGATCTTGTTCACATGGACCTCTGGGGCCCTAATCCCTCTCCCACTTGCCACGGTCATCGCTACCTTCTCATGCTCGTTGATGATCACAGCCGGTACTCGTCCGTCTCTCTCCTTCGGACGAAGGCGGACGCCCTGGCTGCGATCATCGCCTGGCTCGAGCGGGCAAACACCCATTTTGGGCGCCCTGTTCGCCGCCTTCACTCTGATGGTGGTGGTGAGTTCCTTAACAACCAAGTCTCCTCCTATTGTCAGTCTCGTGGCATTCTTCAGACTTACACCCTCCCTCACTCCCCACAGCAGAACGGTGTGGCTGAGAGTCGTGTTCGAGAGATCACCAAAACAGCCCGGTGTCTTCTTGTCCACGCCTCCTGCCCCCCTTCTCTATGGGGCTACGCCCTCCTTCACGCGGCCCTCCTTACTAACCTTTACCCTCACCCCCTTCTCCCTTCCACCACCCCCACTGAGCTGTGGACAAAGGACAAGCCTGATGTCTCATCTCTTCGTGTCTGGGGCTCAAAGGCATATGTCCTTATTCATCCCTCTGATCGCTCCCGCTCCATGGGAAAGCTTGCCCCTCGCACCCTTCCCTGCATCTTCCTTGGTCATAACCCTACCTCACCTGACTACCTTTTCCTCCATCCCCCCTCAGGTCGTCTAGTCCGCAGTAGAGATGTGGTCTTTGATGAGTCCACTCCCTACTACTCCTCTCCCCCATCCACTGACCCACTCCCCCCTCTCACCCGTCCCCTTGTCTGGTCTGACACCACCCCTCCCCCATTACTCCCTCCTCCCCCCATCCTCCCGCCTCCCCCCCCTCCGTCGTCCCCGTCCCACGGTGCCCCTCCCTCGTCTGGTGATATCTTTGACCCGGAACCTCTGTCCTCTCCGGTCTCCCCCACATATTCCTCTCCCAGTGCCCCTCCCCCCCTCCTCTCCCCTCCCTCGCCACCGACCCGTCCTTCCCCTCCTCCCCGCACCGTACTTACCCGGTACCCCCATACCAGGTCACGTGACGGTATCCTTGGTGCACCGCCCCCTGTTACCCTCTCTTCCTCTACCCTCCCCTCTCTCTCCCCTCTCCTTCACCACTTCTTCCAAGCTGTTTTGCATCAACCTCCTCCTGCAGCAGCCCCCTCTGCCTCCTCTCCCTCACCAGCAGCAGCGTCCGCAACGGCACCAGCAGCTGCACCAGCAGCAGGACCAGCAGCAGGACAGGCAGCGGCACTAGCAGCAGGACCAGCAGCGGCACCAGCAACGGCACTAGCAGCGGCACCAGCAGCAGCACCAGCAACGGCACCAGCAGCGGCACCAGCAGTGGCATCAGCATCGGCACCAGCAGCGGCACCAGCAGCAGCACCAGCAGCCATCCCCACCTTCCACACCTCCCTCTCTAAGGACTCCCATGAGGATTTCCTTGACCTCCACCTCTATAACCCCTCGCTTCTACCCATCACATTCGACCTCACCGGCACACCCGTCTTCGCCTTCTCCTCTGCTCCCTCCGTTTTCATCCCTACCACGTATGCAAAGGCAATGGCTTGCCCCGACGCTCCTCTCTGGCTCGCCGCCATCATCAAGGAGCTGGAGGCCTTTATCGCCAACTCCTCCTTCGTTGATGTGCCTCGCCCTCCCGCCTCTATGAACGTGGTGAAGGGGAAGTGGGTGTTTCGCGTCAAGTAGCTGCCAGGGGAGCCGCCCATCTACAAGGCTCGTTACTGTGCCAAGGGCTTCACGCAGCGGTATGCTGTTGACTTCTTCGATACCTTCTCCCCTACCGCCAAACCTGCTACCGTTCGAGTCGTGCTCGACCTTGCCGCTCGCCTAAATATGGAGATCCACTCGATGGATGCTTCTAACGCCTTTCTGCAAGGCGTCCTTCGCGAGCTAATCTATATGGAGCGTCCAGCCGGCTTTCACCTTCCCTTCCCAGCTAACTCTGTCTGGCAGCTGTGTCGACCTGTGTATGGTCTCCGACAGGCCCCTAGGGAGTGGCATGCTAAGCTTGCCGCCACCCTTGCTGAACTTGGGTTTCGCACCTCCCGCTCCGACGCCAGCCTCTTCCTCCGCGCCTCCCCCTCCCCCTTCGACATCCTTGTGTATGTCGATGACATGATTCTGCTCACCGCCGACCTTGCTGAGCTGGAGCATGTTAAGGCTGAGTTGGGTAGCCATCTCAAGTGCAAGGACTTGGGAGAGTTGCAGCATTACCTGGGCATGACCATCACCCGCGATCGCTCCGCCCGCACCATCTCTCTCTCCCAGGGTCATTACTTGCAGCAGGTCTTGGAGCGGTGCCCAACATACTCCTCTTTCTGTCGGGCACCACCTCTCTCCACCCACCTCCCCCTCAACCTGCTCCCATCCTTATCCCGAGCTCGTCGGCTCCTTCATGTACGCCATGGTCTCCACTCGCCCTGACCTTGCCTACCCCATCAGCATCCTTGCTCGTTTTGTTGGCGCAGGCAAACATACGGAAGAGCACTGGCAGGCCGCCAAGCGTGTCCTCCGGTACCTTCGTGGCACCAAGGACTATGTCCTTACCCTTGGCGGCCCCTCCCCACCTCTCCTCAGCGGCTACGGTGACTCCTCCTGGGCTGATTCTCGGCCGGATCGTCGCTCCTCCTAGGGCTATGGCTTCTCTCTTGGCAGCGGCCTTATCAGCTGGCGCTCCACCCGCTCCTCGGCTATCGCCCTCTCCTCCTGCGAGGCGGAGTTGTATGCCGCTACCATGGCTGCGCAAGAGGCCCGCTGGCTCACCTTCCTTCTTGAGGAACTTGGTGCCCCCCAGCGCTGTCCCGCCATCTGGTGTGACAATGCCAGTACCATTCACCTCACTAAGGATGCTGTGTTTCACGGGCGCTCCAAGCACATTGAGCTCCGTCATTTCTTCACGCGATCTTGTTCAGGCGGGGCACCTTCGGCTCGACGAGATTGACTCGGCGACCAACCTTGCCGACATCTTCACAAAAGCTCTTCCTCATGCGGCTCACTCTTCACTACTTCATCTCCTTGGCCTCACTCCTCCTACGTCGCCTCCCGCCTCTTGATTCTAGCCTTCTAGCCTTATGCATGTTGGGGGGTTGTGTTGTAATTTCATATTTTATACAACATACATAGGCTAGAATTAGATGTGTAGCACATATATAAATTGGGGGGTTGTTTAGTGTACCCTCCAACCACATTTTGTGGTTGCTTGGGATTGGTCCTTAACTCAACCAATCCCAACCAACACACATTTGTGGTTGCTTGGGCCACAATCAATTCTCTCCTTCAACACCCTCCCCCTGCCATCCCTTGCCCTACTCCTCCACCTCCTGCTTCTTCCCTTCCTACCTTTGTGCCACTCCTTTCCCCCCCCCCCAAAACCACCGGCAGCAATCTTCTTCAATCTTTGCACCACACAACTCATCTCAGGTCGCTTTCTCGCCTCCTCCTGGCTGCACTGCAGCGCCACCAGCAGCAGCCTCTTCCAGCCGAAAACTGCCCGTTACCTACAATTAAACTCCTACCCCTGCCACTACTGCCCCTCCGCGTGCCATCCCTTGCACTCCTGCTCCTCCTCCTTCCACCCTTTGCGCCCCTCCTTTCCCCACCCCAGAAGCAGCGATTGTCAGAACATTATGTTTCTCTAGTCTGCAGTGGGGTACTCAGTAGTGAGTACAACCCTGTTAGGGTTTGCTATATGTACCCAATTGCTTTCTAGTGCAATCATCCTTTCTCATTCATTCTTTCGTCAATCCTTCTCACAGCGATCTCCCTCAATCTCTGTACAACACGGTTCATGTCGGGTCGCTTGCTTGGCTCCTCTTGACTACATTGCAGCGCCACCAGCAGCAGCCTCTTCGCTACATTCACTAAAAACCGCCTGCTTCCTACATTTGAACTCCTACCCCTGCCACTGCCACCCCTCCCCGTGCCACCCCTTGCACTCCTGCTCCTTCTGCTCCTCCTGCTCCTTCTGCTCCTCCTGCTCCTCTTGCTCCTCCCCCACCAGTAGCGATCTCCCTCAATCTCTCCACCACACAGTTCATGTCGGGTCGCTTGCTCGGCTCCTCTTGACTACATTGCAGCGCCACCAGCAGCAGCCTCTTCGCTGCACTTGCCGAGAACTGCCCCTTCAAGCGCGGGTCCACAACCTGACTTATATGAAACCCATCCGCCTTCTTCCCCTGCTGCTGCTGCTGATCGTCATTACCTTCTGCTGCTGCCGCTGCTGCTGATGCTGAGTCTCCTCCTCCCTTCCTCCCCCACGCCAGCTGTTTGTGGATCCAGGGGAAGAGGCGGTTGTGTGTGGCGGTGGTGGCGGGGGATCGGCCGGTGAGCAGTTCCAGGAGAACCACGCCCAGAGAGAAGACATCGCTCAGCGGGGTGAGGTGGCCTGGAGGGGGGGAGGGGGGTGAAACATGCAGGGAGAGAGGGTGGGGTGTGTGGTGGGAGGGAAGGGGAAGGAGGGTAGGGAGAAAGGGGTTACAGAAGGGGGAAATGGGAAGGGGAACGGGAAGAGGCAATTGTGGGTGGCAGTGATGGCAGGGGATCGGCCAGTGAGCAGCTCAAGCAGAACGACGCCCAAAGAGAAGACATCGCTCAGCGGGGTGAGGTGACCTGAGAGGAGAGTGGAGGAGGGGTTGGGGGGAAGATACTAAAACGGTGAGCAACTCGAGCAGAACCACGCCCAAAGGAAAGACATCGCTCAGCGGGGTGAGGTGGCCTGAGCGTGGGAACGAGTGGGGGCTGGGGGGTGTCGCACAAGGGGTGAGCACCTCAAGCAGAACCACACCCAAGAAGAAGACATCACTCAGAGGGGTGAGGTGGTTTGGAAGGGGCGGGGGGTCGAAGCACGCAGAGTGAGAGGGCAGGGGGTGTGGTACGGGGGAAGGGGAAGGAGGAGAGCAATAAAGGGATTATGGGAGGGGGAAACCAGAAGGGGAAGGAGAATAAGCGGTTGTGGGTGGCGGTGGTGGCGGGGGATCGGCCGGTGAGCAGCTCAAGCAGAACCACACTCAAGGAAAAGACATCGCTCAGCGGGGTGAGGTGGCCTGAGAGTGGAGAGGAGGGGGATGAGGGGGTGGCGCCCCACAGGATGAGGGTGAGAAAACAGTGCACAAGTCATATCCGTGTTCATCGCCTCCCCACCTGTGAGAACAGCACACTCGTTACAAACCTCCCCACCTGTGAGAACAGCACACTCGTTACAAGCCTCCCCACCTGTGAGAACAGCACATTCGTTACAAGCCTCCCCACCTGTGAGAACAGCACACTCTTTACAAGCCTCCCCACCTGTGTCGATATCGTCAGGGTCGAGGTACCCCAGGGTGCTTATGATGCAAGTGGACACGTGCGTCTTGCCCTCCTCCCCTCCTCCCATCCATGCCCAACAGGCACAAGTCATATCCTCGTTACAAGCCTCCCCACCTGTGTCGATATAGTCAGGGTCGAGGTACCCCAGGGTGCCCATGATGCGAGTGGACACGTGCGTCTTGCCCTCCTCTGGTCCCCGTGTCGCCATGCCAAAATCCGTCACCTTGGCTCTCAGCTCCTGCGGAAATAGACATCGGAAAAGGAAAGGGGAGAGGGGGGGGGAAGGGGAAGGCGGGGGGGGGGGGGTTATGGGGGGGAATCGAGAAACCAATGTGGAGTCTTGCCCTCCTCCGGTCCCCGTGTAGCCATGCCGAAGTCTGTCACCTTGGCTCTCAGCTCCTGGTGACACGGAATGGGTAGGTTGTGGATTAGAGGGGGGGTTTGATTAAATTGATTGTTGAGTCTTGCCCTCCTCTGGTCCCCGCGTGGCCATGCGGAACTCCGTCACCTTCGCTCTAAGCTCCTGCGGAAACAGAAATTGGAGAAGGAAGGAGAAGGGGGAGGGGGAGGGGGAGGCGGGGGGGAGGTAAGAGGGGGATTCGAGAAACCATGTGGAGTCTTGCCCTCCTCTGGTCCCCGCGTCGCCATGCCAAAATCCGTCACCTTGGCTCTAAGCCGCTGCGGAAACAGGGGGGGAAGGCTGTGGGGTGTACGCCAGGCCCTCCGCCATGCCTAGTCCATGCAAGAGCACTCGTGTCCACAACATCATGGACACCTGCAGACCCCCCTCCGTGCAACTTACCCTGTCCAGCATGACGTTATGAAACTTGAAGTCGCGGTGAATGATGTTCTGCCCGTGGAGATACGCCAGCAGGACCACCACCAGAGGGCACATTCCTCAGTATCCCTCCCCAGCAACCTCCCCTCCGACTTACCCTGACCAGCATGACGTTGTGCGATTTGAAATCACGGTGAATGATGTTCTGCCCGTGCAGATATGCCATGCCCTCTGCCATGCCCACTGCCCAAGCGTGGTTTACTCTAAATGAACATACACTACACTACAGAGTACAGACCCCACGTCCCACTTACACTGTCCAGCATGACGTTGTGGGACTTGAAGTCGCGGTGAATGATGTTCTGCCCGTGCAGGTATGCCATGCCCTCCGCCATGCCCACTGCCACCTGCACGCGCTGCTCCCATGTCAGGCACGGGCTGTCTGGGGAGAGGTCTGGAGGGACGGCCGATGGGAGGGAGGAAACAGGTGGTTTTCTTGCATGCTGGACTGCCATTTGCCCACTGCCACCTGCACACGCTGCTCCCACATCAGGCACGGGCTGTCCGGGGAGAGGTCTGGAGGGAAAGTTGTGGTGGAGGGGAAACAAGGAAGGGGAAATTGGTTGACATCGGATACGCCAAACGCAAGCCCTCGCTCCCATGTCAGGCACCCACCTGCCACTTTCGAGGGCTGCTCCCATGTCAGGCACGGGCTGTCAGGAGAGAGGTCTGGGGGAGAGGTGAGTGTGGTGGGGAGGATCGACAAGGGTGGGGGAGGGCGGGGAAGGGGACGAAGAGAGGTAGTTAGGAATTGGTCGGATGTGGACACACCACCCAAGTGCACCCAAAGCCAGGCGCGGCGTGTGGGAAAGGGAAAAGGAGGGTAGAAGGTTGGTGGTTGTTGAACATGCGGGGCTGGTGAGAGGTAGAGGTCTGGGGTGGTGATGGTTGGTGTGGGGCGGATCAACTAGGGGGGAAGGAGGGAAGGATGGTGGGGAATGGGGGGTTGTCGGAGTTTGCTGCAAGCGAATACGTCAGGGGCCCCACATGCACTGAATGATCAGTGCTTCTGTGACAACAACACATGGGGAAGTCCGAAAAGAAAGAAAATAAATCCGTGACAACACAAGCACCCATGCGTGCGTATTTTGAGGCACCAAAAAAAAAAATGTACAGCCACTGAATGATGACTGCTTCCGCGTCAACACACGCACGCATCCGTGCGAAGACAGGTTAAAAAGGCACAGTGCCGCCACTATTCAACATCAAGCGTGTTGATGAAGTGGGTGGATAAGGTCGAAACTGTCTGCGCCCAGCTGCAGAGGTAACTGAGGGGGGCGGTGGATGCAGAGGTAACTGAGGGGGGCAGTGGATGCAGAGGTAACTGAGGGGGGCGGTGGATGCAGAGGTAACTGAGGGGGGCGGTGGATGCAGAGCTGCGAATGCCGAAACCACCCAAGCGGATAGGGAGCGAGGCTTGGGGTCGGGCCGATGTGGACTGTTCAGGGGGTGGGATTCCAGTACTCGGAGCCTAGGAGCTGAGAGAAGTGGCTGAAAATGGTACTATCCCATTAAGAGAGTAGCTCTTGGATTTCGGGAAAACGTGCGACAGTTTGGAGAAGGAAAGAAGGTCGGGCAGTGATGCATAAGGAAAGGATCCGTGAGGCAATCTGTGGGTCCCAGTCTGGATGAAGGGAGAAGGGGGAACAAACTGCGTCAACCACACACCACCCGAGGTGACTTCTCTATCAGCAGCTGACTTTGCTTACTTGGGAGAGGACCATTGAGACGTCACAGAGGCCTATTTGTAGGCCTCACTATAGGACTAACTTGCATGTCTGTCCTTACACTAGTTGTTTGGATTTGCCTTGTATCCAATGTACATTTACTATACTGTTAATGAAGAGGTAGAATAGCACCCTGCCACGTGCCCGGCGCAGTCTCGGGTTCGATTCCCGGCTGGCAAAGCCGAAGTTTTGTTGTTTTTTCTTTTGGCTTGTTTCAGTTACCGCTCGTGTTTTTGTTGTCTGGCCACTATCTATGAAACGAACACATCATACCCTAGAACATGCCCAAGTGCTCCGAGAAGAACATAATTAGTCGATATGTTCATGTCCCTCCATGTTCTGATGACACCTACATACATCTCTCTCCATCTCTCTCCATCCCCCGCATCCACCAAATTATGAACCATAAAAGAGTCAGAAGATTGTAAGACTTGAAAAAAGAACCTGATTGCTCGAGCGAAACGACGTCCCTGTTTTGAAATTGCCATCCTATAGTGAGCCATCTCACAACATACCAGGTCACACACTAAAAAGGAAACAGACTGAACAAACCCAGTTCTTTCGCAATGAAAGCATCAGCTTGGCATCAACGGGGCGCATACGCCGTTCACCAACCCTTGACTAATCATCCCAGCACCATTCATCCCAGCACCATTCATCCCAGCACCATTCATCACAGCACCATTCATCACAGCACCATGCCGCCCAGCACCACGCCGCCCAGCACCATGCCGCCCAGCACCATGCCGCCCAGCACCATGCATCCCAGCACCATGCCGCCCAGCACCGTGCCGCCCAGCACCATGCATCCCGATTGTGTCCCAATGAGTGCATCACTCACCTCGGCATGACTGGCCTGTCAGCGCTGTATGAACAGGTGTATGCGGGCCGCATCCACCCCTCACCGAACCTTCACCATGCATGCAGCCTGGTACCATGTGGCCCAGCACCATACGGCCTGGCACCATGCAGCCTGGCACCATGCAGCCTGGCACCATACGGCCTGGCACAATGTCCCGAGCATGCTACCTGACCATGCGGCATGGCACCAAGCCCAGCATCAGCTACAAGCCACCTGAGTTGAAACCCCCCGCCACCCCCCCCCTAGTCGACGACTGTTCCGTGCATTTATCGCTGTGGATCATCTAGTCCTTCTCTGGGTCTCATCCTATGTCACAGCTTTGAGTTCATTCCTTACGTTCGCTTCCTAGAGAAGTCTCTCAGATGCAACGCATGCTACACTTACAAGATCTAGAGCCAGCGCCGTAAACCCTGAACTTAACAATTTCACTACTAAATCGGAATCATACATCCTAAAGCGTGCCAGTGGTCTAGTGGTAGAATAGCACCCTGCCATACGCCCGGTGCAGACCCGGGTTCGATTCCCGGCTGGCACAAGTTCTTTGCCTTTCGCAGTTTGTTTGCTTTTTTTTTTTAAGGTGGGGTGCAGACATGCATGTGTCTTATAAGACATGCAATCCCACCCACCGCCCTCTTCGTCCTCTCACTTACCGTTGGGATGTAGCCAGTGGTGCAGGTCCCCTCTCTCCACCAGCTCATACACAAGAATCGCCCGGCTGTCCTCCATGCAGTACCCCAGCAGCTGCACCAGGTTGGGGTGTCTCAGGTCGCCCAGCACTAGGATCTCCGCCTGTGGGGTGAAAGATGCACAGTGAGGGAGAGATGAAAGGGTGGGGATGCGAGGGAAAGGAGTGTAGCCCGGCTGTCTTCCATGCGGTACCCCAGCAGCTGCACCAGGCTGGGGTGTCTCAGATCGCCCAGCACTAGGATCTCTGCCTGTGGTGGGGGGAGAAGGAGAGGAATGGGTAAGCGTGTTGGGGAGGAAAGGAAGAGAAATGGAGGTGTGAGGGAGAGGAGCGCAGCACGGCTGTCCTCCATGCAGTACCCCAACAGCTGCACCAGGTTGGGGTGTCTCAGATCGCCCAGCACTAGGATATCCGCCTGTGTAGTGAAGGACGGATGGTAGGGGGAGGCGAAACGGGGTGGGGATGAGTAGGAGAAGCAGCCGCAGCAGGTTGGTTGGGGTGGTTTAAGGCTTCCCAGCATGAGGAGAATCTCTGCCTGTGGAGTGAAGGACGTGGGATGGCGGGAGAGAAGTGCAGCACTGCCTTTTGAGACCTCTCAAAAGTGTTTCCCTGCATGAGAAGGATCTCCGCCTGTGGGGTGAGGGACGTGGAATGGGGGGAGAGAAGAGCAGCATTGGCACGTCACATGCAGAATCTAAGGATAACAGGTGCACCTGATTGGGGTCTTTAGGGACTCAAGGTGACACGTGAAAAGGGCAGTAGGGTGGGTGGGTGGGTGGGTGGGGGGATGGAGGCTGCAATTATAGATGAACAAAACAGAATAATTCATACGTGATCACGATTCGACTTAATGACTCCTTTGCCTAGCCTTGCATTTTCCTGGCCTCGCCTTTCCCTGGCCTCGCCTCTCACCAGGGAATAGTCAAACGCCTTCATGCTGTCAGTGTGAAGCACCTCCACACCGCAACCTCTCCCATTCCCTCAAGCCCATCCCCTTCCCTCCCTCTCCCTCCCCCCCTTCCCCATTCTTTTTCCTTCTGCCCCGCAAAATAGACAAAATACAAACTATCCCGTTCCTCACTCCTCCCTACTACTTACTCACCCTGTTCCATGTCCCTTTTCTCACCCCTTTCTCAGTGGCTCACCAGGCAATCGTCAAACGCCTTCACGCTGTAAGTGTGATGCACCTTCACCGCCCCGCCACCTCTCTCCCATCTTCTCAAACCCATTCTCGACCCTCTCCCCACCTCTTCCCCCCCCTTTAACTCACTCTCCAAACAACTTCCCTCGCCTCTCACCAGGCAGTCATCAAACGCCTTGACGCTCTCAGTGTGAAGGACCTTCACTGCCACACCTCTCCTTACCCCAAGCCCATGATCCCATCCTCTCCCCTTCTGTCCCCTCCCTCACCAGGCAGTCGTCAAACGCCTTGACGCTCTCAGTGTGAAGCACCTTCACCGCCACCTCTCTCTTGCTGCCACGTGGCAGCTCTCCCAGCCACTCGTCCACCTGCCCTTTCCCAGCTGCAGGGATGCGTTGAAATACCCTGCTGCCTGCTGCAGCTCGCGGTAGGAGAAGCGACGCAGAGGAGGAGGGTTGGAGGAAGGCCCTTGCCCCGCTGCGGAAAGAGAGGGTTAGACGGGTAGGGTATGAAGGGAGGGAGACGAGAGGGTAAGAGAGGGAAAGAGTAAGAACCCTTGCCTTGTCCAGCTGCAGGGGCGCATTGAAATACCCTGCTGCCTGCTGCAGCTCGCGGTAGGAGAAGCGCCGCAGAGGAGGCGGGCCGGAGGAAGGCCCTTGCCCCGCTGGGAGGGGGAAAAAAAGGGGGAGAGTGGGGGGGAGTAAGGCCCTTGCCTTGCCCAGCTGCAGGGACGCGTTGCCCAGTACCCAGCCGCCTGCTGTAGCTCGCGATAGGAGAAGCGGCGCAGAGGATGAGGGTTGGAGGAAGGGCCTTGCGCCGCTGCAGAGAGGGCTAAGGGGGTAGGCATGTGAGGGAGGGAGAAAAGAGGGGGAGAGTAAGGCCCTGCCCTTACCCAGCTGCAGGGCCGAGAGGGGGAGAGTAAGGGATGGGGTGGAAGGAGGTGGGAGGGGGCGTGTTTGGGAAATCGGGTAAAGGGGGTAGGGTGTGAAGAGAGGGAGAAGAGAGGGAGGAGAAAGGGGGAGAGGAAGAGAGTTAGGCCCTCCAACAGCAGAGACGCGGTAGGAGGAACGACGCAGGGGAGGGGGGCAGGGGGAAGGCTGGCTGTGCGCTGATGGGGACACAGCGGTTTGGGAAGAGAGGGGTGGGGTGGGGAAAAGATGAAGCAGAGACTGGATTGGGGGAGGGGGAAGAGAGAAAGAAGGCATGGAGGAGAGAGGGGCCTAGCTGCACAGAAAGGGTGCATGAGAATACCCCGCCGCCTGCTGAATCCCGCTCTCGCTATAAGAGGAGAGACGGGAAGATAATTGATTGAGTGAGCGTAGGACTGCCTATAAGATGAGAATACCACGTCTCACGGTACGAATCTGACTCTGAGGCTTTCGGAGAAGGCTCGCTTCGTTCGGTTCGGGACCTTCGAGTCGACTAGAATCACCTCAAAAGTCACTTTGTTCGGGTCGGGACCTGGTGCTATCGGCGACCTACAACGAAATCACTTTTGAGAATTCTCAAAAGTGACAAAAACCAGCAGTCGCAAAGCTTTCTGTACTTCGTGGAAACGTGGAACTAGGAGCCTCAGGCTGCTGCATCTCGCTTTGAGTGTGATCGAGCAAGATGTCTGAGTTTCGCTAACCAGAATGTCCCCAGAGCTCGTGTTCTACCCGAGCACCACGTGCAACGGGATAAATGGCCAAAGTTGTGCACGAGAAACGCAAAAAAAAAACTCGAACGCAGGAATTATCAATCTTGGTAGCACTATGGACACGCCACGAAGAGATTTCGCTGAGCTCGCCGCGTCACTATTAATGCTGCGAGAAAGATCTCGCCACATGCGATCGGGCCAGAACCGACCTGCGCCATTCCCGCGCACAGCCGAGCGCTTCGAGGGCGTCGAGCCGAAGCACCCACAGCACGCAACGGCGTCATCATCGTCCATGCCGCGCGACGGTTACAACGACGACGACGACTCGCAAAGGGGTAAAGGACGTTGGTTATCTTGTCGGATTCGCTGAATCGACGAACATTTCGTGGCTTCACTCGGTGAGTTGTGCGTCTGTCTGCCGGAGGAACTGGGAACCCAAAATAGTGGTTGATGATGAAGATTTAGAATAATGAAGTCAAGGTAATCTGTTGCATATTTAGAGTAATGATCTCGAACAAGAATCTATCTCGTCTATAATCGACCCTAACCTGTTACGCTGGTTGAAGAACACAATGACACACCTGGCAAAGGAACACACATGCCTTCACTAGCAAAGGTTCTCCGACTTCTGCTGGACCAACGCTTGGTGAACATGCTTTCAAGACGTGGTGCATTGGCGTCCCTGCAGCAGTCTTCACAAGGAACGTGCAGAATTGAGTTGAGCCCTGCTGCGACGCTACAATATTAGCGCGACGCACTGGCGCCCCGTTTTCCTCCTCAAACAGATACCCTGTGCGACGGAACTCGCTTCTGTGACTGGGCATCCGTAGCGTTTTGGTCGCACACACAGTATGAATTTCTCGCCACAGCGTCATATTGAGCGTTACAATGACCTAACGAAAGCTTCGGGTTTCCCGTGGGTGTTGGCCATCTGGCCGGTGCCAGTCCAGTCCAAACTCAGCGAGCTAAATTGACGAATGACCGTCCAGGAAAAGTTACACAGATTCAAATAATAGAAGGCACATGCAATGTATAACCTAGCTCCTCAAGTCCTAATACTTATCTTGCTCAGGCTATGCTACCATTTCACATGTAGAGCCTGCGCTGTTTGTACATTTAGAGATTTAAATCCTGTACATGATACACCATCAACAAAACGAAACTTACAGCGCTCATGAAAACATGGATTCCGGAAGTACCGTCATACCCCGGATATACCCCCATGGGGGCCCATGGGGGGCAATAATAAAACAGGTTTTTTCAGGGGGGTGGGCTTATAATCGAGTAAATTTATAAGCGCCGGCGTTTATAAAATGACATATATATTTTTTCTATTTTTTAACACCAAACTGTAGATCTCGTGCTTGCCTTTCCAATCGAGTCGAAGTTACATGGGGTCGTCTGTGAAAATCTCGCGCGCGCTGGGAGATACACCCAATCTGACTCACATCCAGCTCCTGACAGCTCCTGACAGCTCCTGCTGACTGGACCCGCATCCAGTGCAGGGTCCGAATGTGAAGGGAACCGAATCTGCAACACATCCGCCTTCTAAAGTAAAAATCGTTACAGCATTTTGAACACATTTCAAAATTTATAAGTTTACGTGCGCTTATAATAAAACAAGTTTTTTCAGGGGGTGCGCTTATAATCGAGCAGCGGATATAAGCGCCATGCGCCAATTAAAAGTGCCAGGCGCTTATCCGAGGGTGGCGCTTATATCCGGGGTATGACGGTAGCCCTCACAAGACAATCACGCTAATTGTTGGAGTAAGTGTTAAGCTCTTAGGCAAGGGGGATGATTGGACTGTCGAGAGTTTTGGTACAAAGGGAAAACCTAAGGGGTTGTACCCCACAGTGAGTACCCCACTAAAGCCTACCTAAACTATAACATATAAACATATGTTTGACACACCCCCATAGGCAAAGAGGGGGAGAACAGAGGGTCACAAGGCCAGGCAGGAAGTGCAAAGCAAGCTCAGGGTGGATCACAACGTCACCACGCAGTCTGAGCACAAGCAAAAGGCCACAAGGCCAGTTCACATGCAGAGATATATGTGTAACAACAACAGCACAGTGATATCTACCTACAAGAGCAAGCATGCAGGTATACATATAGATCACAGTACAACCAAAGCCTACAGCAAGTGAGGAAGCGTGGGAACAAGGCCTAACAAAGTGCAGAAACGCTGATGATCACCAGGCGGAAGCGCCTTGGTGAATATATCAGCAGTGTTGGCCCGAGTGGCCATGTAAGCAAGACGAAGCTGGCCACGCTGCTGCAGCTCTCGAGCAAGGAAGTAACGTAGAGCGATGTGCTTCGTTCTGTGCTCCAGTCTGTGCTCCTGACACAAGGCAATGGCAGCCTTGTTGTCGACGTACAGAACTGGAGGAGAACGAGGCCGCTCTCCCAAGTCGGTCAGCAGGTAGGTGAGCCAGCGTAGCTCCTGTGCAGCCATGGCTGTGGCGTAGATCTCGGCCTCACAGCTGGAGCCGAGAACTGAAGACAAACGTGTAGAACGCCAGGAAACTGAACCAGAACCAAGGCTGAAGGTGTAACCCTGTCACGACCGCTGAGTAGCCTGGTCGTCAACCCAAGAGTTGCCGAGTGACCAGTGAGGACAACGTCACCCCGTCCTCCAAGCACGAGCCCCATGCCCGATGTACTGCACAAGTAGCGTAGTACCCTCTTAGCAGCATCCATGAGCACCTTTCGGTGCCGACCAGGAGCCACGTAACGAGCCAGAAGGCCAAGAGGGTACGCAAGGTCAGGACGAGTGCAGGTCATCAGGTACATGAGGCAGCCCACTAGCTCTGGGTAAGGACCACTCGGCTCTACGGACTCGTCCGAAGGTGGAGCTGAGAGCGAGTGACCTGTAGCCATAGGAATGGCCTGTGCTGAGGACCAGGTGAAGCCGAAGCGCTGAAGGACCTGCTGCACCATGTGTGACTGAGTCAGTGTGATGGTGCGCCGTGCTCTGTCCCGGGTGATCTGCAAGCCAAGATAGCTGCGCAGCTCACCCAAGTCTGTGCACGTGTGTCTCTTCTGCAGCTCCGACTTCACCAGGGCGAGAGCCTCAGTGTCAGCAGTGGCAAAGACCAAGTCGTCGACGTACACGAAGATGTAGAACGGCGGCAGCGAAGTGTCGGTGCGCAGAAACAGCGACGGGTCAGCAGTCGACGGAGCAAACCCAAGAGCCGCAAGTGTCGTCCTTAGTGTGTCGTGCCACTCACGTGGTGCTTGGCGGAGACCGTAGACCGGCCGCCGGAGGCTCCACTGGGTACCAGGAGGGAACGACCCAGTGAAGCCAGGTGGGCGGCGCAGCCATATCTCCTCGTGCAGGCTGCCCTGTAAGAAGGCTATGCTGAAGTCAAGAGAGTGAAGCTCGTAGTCTCGCTGAGCGGCAACGTGTAGCAGCACCCGAAGAGTGGTCATCTTCGGGGTGGGGGAGAAGGTCTGGAAGAAGTCAACTCCCTCTCGCTGACTGAAGCCTCGAGCCACGTAACGAGCCTTGAAGACAGGCGGAGAACCTGGCGGCCGCTTCACCGTGAAAATCCACATGCCACTGACAATGTTCGCCCCAGGAGGGGGAACCTCGTCGACGTAGGTGCCTGTGGACTTCCAGGATGCCATCTCTGCGTCCATGGCTGTCTGCCACTGAGAGGAGTACTCACCCGCGATTGCCTCAGCGTAAGAGCGCGGGGTAGGGATGTCTGGTGCATCCGGGTCTCCCTCAGGGTCAAGCAGCATGGCCACGAGATGAGGCGCAGCGGTTGCAAGACACTCAAGGTCCTCCTGCCTGTCCTCAAGGACGTCCGTGCCAAGAGCACACTCACCCCCGACGGACGGAGGACAGACAGACTCAGACTCAGCAACAAGACTGGCGGCGTAGTCGAGACGACAGGCAGCAGCAAAGTCAACAAGCTCAGCGACTAAGGCAGACGCAGCAGCAGACTCAAACGACGGGTCAGTGACAACAGTGGCAAGAAGACGCGTGACAGTAGAGTGCTCAGCACGAAACTGGTCAGACGCAGGGTCAGTAACGACAGGCAGAGAAGATGCAGGGGGAGACGGCAGAGGAACACACGGCGGAGGAGAGGAAGGACGACGAACTACAAGGTGAGGGCCGGAGACAGCCGGCTGCCGCTGACGAGGAACACGACGACCGGAACGACCAGAACGGACAGGTGAGACAGGACGCAACGCAGGCTCACGACGCTGAGCAAGGCCCCCAGTCTGCTCTGTGTACGGAGAAGGAGCAGGCAGCGGTGAGCCAGGCTGTAACAGAAGACCAGTAGACGAGGGAAGACTGAGAACCTGGCGAAGTGCAGAGTCAGGTGGTGGCTGAGACGACGGAGACGCGGAGCGAAGAACAGGCGCGGCTGAGCAGTGCCACCAGCACCAGCAGCTCCAGAACCTCCAGCAGCTCCAGCACCTCCAGCAGCTCCAGCACCTCCAGCAGCTCCAGTACCCTCAGCAGCTCCAGCACCGCCAGTAGCTCCAGGACCCTCAGCAGGCCCAGCACCTCCAGCAGCCCCAGTACCCTCAGCAGCTCCAGCACCGCCAGCACCTCCAGCAGCTCTAGTACCTCCAGCAGCTCCAGCAC